TTAGATCAATGATATCAATGAACAAGATTAAGTCAAACATTAATAAATCTGGTCAAAATACTATGGCATAGTTGTAAATATATGTATATTTCATGGATCAATGGACACCACAAAGGGTACTTTTGTAATTTTAGTTTTCACCATAATTAAATGGACCCCACCACTATTTAACCCTTCTCCACCACTCTTTCACACACACACACAAAATCTGATTCTTTTTTAACGCATGCACGCAGTTCACACACACACACACATACACACACCATACAGACGGCGGCACTACAGAACAAAGCCACCGCCCGTCGCCTCTGACCGCCGCCTCCGACCGTCGCCTCCGATCATCACCTCCGACCATCGCCTCCGACCGCCCGTCGCCTCTGACCGCCTCGCCCGATACCGATCTTCACAGCGCCACCATCATTGACCACTTCGATCTCAACAACAACGCCCGGATGGTGAGTTCTCCGGCGACCATGACGACAACGGCCGAACTCGCTGCTACAGGCGTTAATCGATGGCCGACGTCGTCGTCGTCGTCGGTAGCGTCCCCTTTTTCGGCGGCGGGTGATTGTGTGGTGGCCGACGGAAGGCGACGACGGCTGTGGCGTACGGACGGCGACCGGAGAAGGTCCACAGGTGGCCGCAGGCAGAGGTGCTCGGATGGATGGAGATTAACGGGCTAAAATTCATCAGATTTTTCAATTTGATGTATAGGGGCTTTTTTGTGAATTTGATAAGATATAGGGGTTTAGATGCAATTTTAGCATTTTTTATATATTGCACTTTAGTTCATGGGTGAAATTGTAATTAATCAAACTATTATTAATATTTTACCATTTCATATCTAATATTTTATATTTTTTTTGTTTGAAATTTGATAATATTTTACATAAACACTATATTAATAAAATGAATGATATTTTTCTCATGATCCGATATCAAATTGACATAACCGCGTCAAAAATTGACAATTGAATTGAAATTAAAATTCTCGAACTAAAAATTTTAGTTTGGTTGAGGTCGTTCGATTTTGTGCAATTTATTAGTCATTAAAGTGCAATCTAATAGTTACTAATGTGCAATTTGTATAACCATAAAATGCACTCGTCATGCATACAAATATTTAAAAATAATGCGTCGGTCGTTTTGGTTATTTTAGTTATTATAAAAAATAAATTCGCCGAAATATACTAACCGTGATTTTAAAATAAATACAATTACTCAAACTCAAATATAGACTTTCAATCAAAAAATTTAATTCTTCCGGTTCCTGTCGCAGTTGTGCAATTTGATATTCATTAAGGTGCAACTTTTTTAACACTATCCTGCACTCATAATGCACTCATAATCGGTTTATTCTATCGCTACTCACATATATATATATATATATATATATATATATATATTT